GGACAGAGAAGCCCTGGGCTCATCCTGCCTACCCACCCTGTATCCACATGAGAGCCTCCTCCTTATTGTCTCTGGAAAACTCATAGACCTCTGCTTATTCAACATGGTGGCAAGGCCACCTCCTCCTCTCTTTCCAGACTGAGACACCCATTCCTGCAGGGCCAGATCATGGCTCTTTCCTCTAGAACTTCCTGGGGTATCTTTGTCCAGTGAACTCCACCTTCTCTGGGAGCCCATGATCCATAGCCTGCTCCTTTCACTCTACCCCTTGGAGAACCCGTCAACTTTTTCTCTCCTAGTCTAAGTCCAGATTATCAGCCAGCTATCTGGCAGCTCTGCACTCTCTGCATCCTGCCTTCACAAGCTCCTCTCTTTCCTCAAGGCTACCATTCACCTCATACATCATACCCCCTAAACTGGATCCTTTTCTATTTTCTCTCCATTTCCTCCTATGTGGAAGTGCTCAGGCCTGGAAGACATTTAACCATCTGTTGCTGTTTGCTGTTCTGGGGCTTTTACTTAGTATGACTTTGGTCTACCTAACTAGACAGTGAGCTCTTCATGGGCCTGTCCTTTCTCCACTGCTTCCAGTGGGAGTTCAGAAGGACTGGATGAATGCAAAGATGACTGAGTGATGATGCCTCCAAGCCAAGCAGTGCAGACTCAGGAGGCTGAGCTGCTGTGTGTTCTCTGAACTGCCTGTTCTTATTCACAACCCTGAACTCATTCTTGGAGTGTCAGCCTGGGGCTGCAGCTCCCTATCCTTAGTGCCCAGATGAATAAACACAGCTTTGACCACCTGCCCCAGTCACATTAGCCATTGATATCTGTAAACTCTATTCTGAGTGCCTACTACATGCCTATCACTGTGAGTGTGTGCAGGGGAGGAGGGGAGGAGCTCACAAGATTCCTAATCTCCACGAGTTCATCATCTAGACAGAGAGAAAAAGATTCACCAGCAGGAGAGCCAGAGCAGGTCTGAGGGTATGTGGCCATGGCTAGGGCTACCGAATGTGGTTCAGTGGGTGTCAGCCTGAAGAATGAGGCTCAGCTGGAGGGAAGCTGAGCACAAAGAGGGCTCCCCAACTCCTTGAGAGTAGAGAGGAAGAGCAAAGGAAAGTGAAAGAACAGGTGGCAATGGGAAGGCCTGAGTACATAACCTGTCCAACCCTAGGCCCCACATACACACACATGCACACATGGGGCTTCCTGAAAGTCCCAGAGATGAATCAGCAACAAAATGTAAGCTCCAGACTCACAGAGAAAATGAGAAGCAACTGTTTCAAGCTCCCATTTCCATTTGCCAGCTCGCTCTCTCTTTCTCTCTCTCTCAATGGAATAATTGTGGCCATGAAGTGGCACTTGGAGAAAAAGTTTTAAATCTGCTTAAATGTCATAGTGAATAATACTTTGCCCCTATCTTTTCCTAATTGCATTTCTCTTTGATAATTTGAGGTTAAAAAAAATTTAACTCAAGTGTTCTTAGAATATCAAGGGCAAGAATACCAAAGAGCCAACTTATTCATGTTCCACACTATTTTCTTAGGGGTCCTGCTCCTTTATTGCATTCATTTGAGACACCTGTCTGTGTTATTTTATCCCCCAACACTGCTGTGGTAGAGAGGTGGGAGACTAAGAGATGCAGCTCTGCACCTTTAAGAGATCCATGCCTGGACAGAAGCTGCTTTTGAAGCTGTTCACACAGGTAGGGACCTGATGTCCTGGTTGCTTCTGCCCCAGCAAGCTGGGAAGAGATGGAGCAACTCACCATACACCTACCAGAAAGCTGGGAGGTGGGGAATATCCTTCCCTCTAAGGAAGTAAGCCCAAATCTGAAATAAGATAATAGCAGGCAGGCTAGAGTGGAGGGCAGGAAGCTTGCCTAAGGAAGAAAGAGCTCTACCCAGACTTAGGCCACAAATAAAGACACACAACACAGAGGAGCAGACCAAGAGGAAGCTGGATGGACCAGGATGCAGCATGGGCATCTAAAATAACCAGGTGCTCCTTAAATTATCAACCCACTTCCTCATTTACTCCTGCCCAGGGACTGCCTTTATTTATGTATTGGCTATTATTATTAATAATAACATGAATAATTAAATACCTGTGAATAATTCACTTGAACCTTGGAGTGGCTGGGGTAGTGACAGAAAGAAGGGTGAACCTCAGCAACTCTCCCCCTGAACAGCCCCTCCTTTTCCAGCTGCCCTCAGCTGGCTCCCTTCATTTCCCACCCCCATGGCTTTGCTTTGAAGGGGTGGGGAGCAGGTGGAGAAAGAAGGATATCAAGTAGGAATTACCTTCCCTAACTCCCCTGGTATGACAGAAATTATATTCCACTCTACTGCAAGATCCTGGAGCCAAGCCCCAGTGCTGCAAGACAGTGTTGATATTGGAGGAGATATTTTGGATAGTTGTTAGCCTCTGCCCATGTGTTCTGAGGTGGGTTGGGAGCAGGGGGGGTCTCAACCTGATAGGTATACACAGAGAGAGAAAGAGGGGGGGAAGAGAGAGAGAGGCTACAAATAGGATCTGTGCAAATGTCCAGGCTGCATCTACATAAGCACACACCGTCCTGACAAGATACGCACACCTTCTGCCACACATGCAAACACCCTCCATGTGGGAACCAAGAATGTGCCCACCTTATTATAGCACACCAGAGGCACACCAAGCACACAGTCAGCAGATAGACTCTATATGTGAGCTTCTGTTAGATTCCATCAACTTGGGCGATTCGTAGACAACATATAACACTAAATAATATAAGCCTGGGAAATTGAGTTAGGAATCAACTATACTTACACACGACTCCAAAAGCAAAGGCAGGAGAATCTAAAATGCAAGGAAGAAGTTCCACAGTTCTCAGAATTGTACTTGCTCTTTGGTTTGGGCCCCCATCCTCAGGGAGAGTCATCTGGAACTCCTTTGGGGCCTGGGGCTGCCACCTCCCAGCCTTCAGCCTCCTCTGGCGCTGGGGAGTACCGAGATGTGGTACCAAACAGGCTTGGCCTGGGTTTTCAGGCTGCTGGGGGTCTCGTTTCTTTAAATAAAATTTTAAACATGTCGTCTAGTAACGTAATGTAATTCTAGAGTAAGAACAGAGAAACCTTGAAAATCCAAAAGTGACCAGTCCGGGACCCGCCTGGGTTAAGACATCAGCTCCGCCCTGCGGTCCCAGCCCGCGGGGTAGCAGGAGCATTATTTTAATCAGCCTGGCTTCTGAAGCTGAGACAAATCTGTCCTTCAAAAAGCTAATGTGGAAGAGGATGGGGTGCAAGTAAATGCCATTAAAATGAAAATCTGCTGCCCCAGCCAAGTTCACCGCCAGTATTCTCCCCCAGAGGCGGGACTGCTCCGACCGGCTCTTATGCCTGCCACTCCCTCTCCGAGCTGCCCTGCCGAGGTTCCAGCCCCAGCGGGCCTGGCGGGGAGTCCCGAGCGGTACCAGCCGGGCGGCCGGACCCTGGGCTTTAGCCTGCCTATTCGACTCCCCGCCTCGCACCTCTGGAGTGGGTGGTGCAGAAAACGAAACCCGCCGGGGCAGCGCACGCCGCGCGAGTCCGGGTCGCGATTCAGGGACTTTATTTCTTTGACAGTGGATTAAGAAAAACATTTTCTAATTTGAACCAGTAAAGCAAACGAGGGCAAAAACCAAGCCGCTCCTCCGCGCTGGCTCACTGGCCACCGCTTTCAGCGTCTTCCTCCCTTCTCCGCGGGCGAGCGGGCCAGGGCGCCCGGCGCCTACCTTCCTCCCGCCGGCTGCTGGCCAGGGCGGCCACTGCTCTCTGGGACGGGGGAAATCGTCCGGGACCGAAATACCCACCTCCCGCCTTCGGAGGCGGGCTGTTGCGGAGGACGGACCCGAATCTCTACGCCCCGTGTCCCTGGCATGGCCCGACACCCTACCCTATCCTCCCAGGTGGTTCGGCTGGAGGTAGATGCCCAGTGGGAGGGAGAAATTTGGGAGCTGCTCTGGCAGGTTGGGACTGCGAGGAGGAAAAAAAAAAAAAAAAAACAGAAACGGAGAGAGCGCTCTTGTCTATAGATTTATCCACATAATATATATTTATGTAGCTTTTTTTTCTCTCGACACTGATCAATGCGCACTCAGATCACTGGGCGGACTCCCTCCAAGCCCGCTCGCTTTTTCTGGTCTAAATAAATAAATAAATGGAGCCAGATGGGAGAAAAAAGCGCCCATTCCACCTCCGCCGCCGCCTTCGCCGCCGCCCCGCCCGCCATCCCTGCCTTCCTTCTCCCGCCTGTCGCCCTAATAGAGCGCAGCTAGGTGGATAACTCCCCCCTACATACCCACACGAAAATGAAAATCAATGTTTTTAAAATACGAAAAGTTGCACCTGCTGCTATTACAAAAGAACCCCCAAAAGGCAAAGACACGAGGCCCGTAGCTCAGTTCCTAACAGGAACCCGATGCCTGCGGCAGCCGGGCCCGGAATCTCAGCGCCTCCCAAAGAGCCATGCGCCTGGCGCTATTTATAGCCGGGGGCCGTCTCGGACTGTACCACCGCCTCTCCGCGGGGCCGCTGACGGGGGAGGCGCAGCGAGGCCGGCGCCGCCCCATGCCGCCCTGCCCCCGACCGCCGCCTGCCGCGATGCTCCCCCCGCCCCCAGCGTACCCACTCCCGGGCTCCCGCGCTCCCTTCCTCCGCGCGCGCACACTCGTCGCCCCCACCCCTGGTCTGGCAGGGAACTTGAACCGGTCCAGCCTGTTTAAACGGAAAGGACAGAGATCCTGTCTGTTCAATGTAAAAAAAAAAAAAAAAAAAAGAAAAGAAAGAAAGAAAGAAAAAGAAGAAGAAGAAAAGAAAAAAATCAGATCAGACCGAGGGGGAGACAGAAAGAGAAAGAGAGAGAGAGAGAGAGAGAGAGGAGGGAGGGGGAGGGAGTGGAGAGGAGAGAGCGAGAGCGAGCGAGAGAAGAGGAGAGAGAGAGAGAGAGAGAGAGAGAGCATAGAACGAGAGGAGAGCGAGGTGTAGAGAAACCGAGGGGGAGAGAACCCGAGTGTGTGTATGCGTGTGCGTGGTGAGCGCGAGCGAGCGAGCGAGTGAGGGAGAGGAGCGAGAGAGTGCGAGCGAGAAAGAATAAAAGGAAAGAAGATTTTCTCTATGTATATAAAGATGGCCACGTTAGCAAACGGACAGGCTGACAACGCGAGCCTCAGTACCAACGGGCTCGGCAGCAGCCCGGGCAGCGCCGGGCACATGAACGGATTAAGCCACAGCCCGGGGAACCCGTCGACCATTCCCATGAAGGACCACGATGCCATCAAGCTGTTCATTGGGCAGATCCCCCGAAACCTGGATGAGAAGGACCTCAAGCCCCTCTTCGAGGAGTTCGGCAAGATCTACGAGCTTACGGTTCTGAAGGACAGGTTCACAGGCATGCACAAAGGTGAGTGCACCTTTCGCTCCCAACTTTGCCGGGGCTAAGGAGCGGGCGGGCAGCCGACCGGCCGGCCGGCGACTGACGAGCGGGAGACCGGGCGAGAGCGAGCCGCGGGCGGGCGCCGAGGAGGGAGGCGCTCGGGCAGTGGAGACCAGAGCTGGGGTGCGTGGGGAGCTGTTCGCTGGGGCAAGGCTGGGTTTTGGGCGAGCTGCTGATAGAAACTGTGCCATAGGGAAAGCCGCGGACTCAGAAGATGAAGAGGAGAAAAGAGAGGATAAAGGGGGAAATGGAGCTTGGGTTGGGGGGTAGTGCGACTTGAAAGATTGGGACAGGGACGATCACACCCGGCAAGCCCAGGACACTGAGTGGACTGGCGGGCGCTTGGTGGGCGCGGAGCGGGCCAGGGACTGAAGGTGCTGTCCGTCGCCGTGGTGCTGAAAATACTACAAGGATGGTCTCCTCATCCCGCTTAGCTCCAGCCCAGAGTAACAGGAACACAGCCGTCTAAAAGGGGGCAGATGATAAATTCAAAGAGATATTTTTATTTTGCTATCAATTCAACATTATATTCTCCCTGTCTATCTGTGTGTCTCAATAATCTGGTTGTAGTGTGAGTAGCAGTGGGGAAGTGGGGGAAAGGGATGGTTTGGACGTTTGAAGGAAGGAGTGATAAAACCCAAGGCAAGAATTAGCAAGGAACCAGCCATCCCCTGGGTGGAGTGAGGGGTCTGGGAAACCCAAATAATATCTTTCTCCAGGAAAGCTGAACTTTGGGGGGAAATATACGTGTACAAGATATGCATTTTGAAAGGTGTACCCTAATGTATCCCAAACTCACCGTGTAGAGAGCTTCATAGTACATTATTTCTCCTTTGTAGCCATCATTTCTAGTGAGTGTCTGGGAGAGGGTGAGACAGAATAATCAACGAATTAAAAACTAGCAACTTTTTAGGAAAGTGGTCATGGGAATTGTCTGCATCCTGCCTGTTTTTTCCTTGTTTTATTATCTTTAAGGCAGAGCCCCAAACGTGCTCAGTTGTAGAATGTGTGTGGGTGGCTGGTGGGTGACGAAATTAGCCCAGTGCTCCGCTCCCTAACAGTAATATATAGGATGTGCAGCAGGGATTAATCGGTGCTGGAGCTGTGTGGGCAAGTTAAATGCTTTCTGAGAGAGATTGATCGCCAGGCAGGGAAGGAGCACAGGGCTAAGGAAGTTGTAGGGGATGTGTGTGGACGTTCCGTTTTTAATAAACAGTAGTGTGGAGAGCTGCCGAAGATGCAGTGTTAGAGCTGGTGGTTTTAAAGATGAAAACACACACATACACCCACCCCCGCAGAGACAGCAGCCTCATCCTTGGCCACAAATGGGCTATGAACAGAGCTGATCCTCCAGCACATCAGGTGCAGAGCGCAGCGGAGCTGTCTGGCTCTCTAACAGCAGCGGTTTTCACTATCACAACCACCCTCCTGCTCCAGCCCTCCCTTCATCCGAATACTAAACAGAGCTCCCAACTCTTCATAGTTGAAGTCCCAGAGAGCAGTTTTTATTGGCTTTAGCATCTTCCAGTTTGCCTACTGAGGAGTAAATGTTAAAGTTAATGGTATGTTGAGTAGCACAAAAACACAGCAGAATGGAAATATACTGGGTTTGTTGGGGTGGGGTGAGGTGGGGGCTGTAATGAAGAGAGAAACCAACCTTTATCCAATATGGAGAAAATGTCTGTCTGTTCAGAAGAGAGATTGAAAAGGTGGAATGGGGAGGCAGTCTTCAAAATAATATTCAAAGAAAAGAAACACTTTCTTTCCCACTCCCTCTCAAGTCAACCATGTCTTTGTAGTTTTTCCCTTTCCAATCAAGCTTCTTAGAAGCTAATCAAGGAGTGTATCAAACCTTTATCATTTTAATAAGTCCCCAGTTTTTAAAATAGTAACAATAAAAAATTTAACAGCATAGGTGGGGCAGCCTTTTGCCCATCTTGATGATCAGTTCTTGTGGTAATTTAAGATTTCAAAGTTTTAAAAAAAAAAATCAGTACCCACTAGAGACAAAAAGACAGTTGTAGAGAGCTGGGCATCCTATAGAATCTGGACTGGAACACTTTATTTGCTTCATTATTTCACAATAAGCTAAACTTTAACATTATTCCTCTGTTTCTTCTCAACAATCCCTTGCTGATATCATCACTTTGTTTCCAATGTAATTTGGGCTCTTTCATAGTACAGTAAAGAAGTAGAATTGTTCTATATAAGGGAGATAAAGAAGATAAATAGATAGATAGACACATATATATGTATTGTGGTATAATTATGTATATGTTCAGCCAGAATTTTGAGCACAGGAAAACTTCATTTTCTAAAGAATTCTCCCAAACTGTCTCAGCCAGTGACAGGCAGGCCCGTTGGCTCCAGCATTCTGGGTGCCTTGTTGTCGCAGCTCACCCTTCAGAACCTGAGCATATATTTTTCCTTATGAAACTTCCTGCCTCTCCATCCCCCTGATTTTTAGAGTCAGGGATGGGCCACAATGTCCCTGACAGTGCCTGGAAGCTCCCGGAGAGCTGAATAAATGAGACTGTTTCCAAAGGCTGGTTCATTCGATTCTAGTAGAGTTTGAACTCTTCCTTCAGTGATGCAGCCTGATTTATTAACTAATCCTGATAAAATAAGCCTCTGGCCACCTTAAAAAATTACTTGCTTGCCATTGGTGATTAATTACTGTGAAGTCAAAAAGCATGATGAGGCTTAAAGAATGAGAGTTGCATTTGGCCTCTACATTTTTCCCATCTCTAAATTGACAACATGAAGCTAGGGATAGAATCATGCCTTTGTTAAGCCTGGTTTCAGGGTATGTTTGTGGTTCTTGCTCTCCCCTTCTTGAATTTCTAACTTCTAATGAATAATACTGGAATAAAATTAAGAGGCATGACAGAATACTGGCATTCAGTGTGGAAGGCATTATGTATGTTATTGATTTCTAAAAAGGAGTAAAAGCTAAATGATGAGATTTCAGGTGGGTTTCCATTTGTTGTCCACCTGCCATTTCAGGTGACTAAAGAAAGAAGGAGTTCTAAGGGTTAATGGAATACCTGCCATGCGTAGAGTGCACCTTAAAAGGCAATTACTCCAGTCAAATTGGGAGTCTGTGTAGGAGGGAGTGGTAGGTGTTATGGAGCAAACCCAGCCATATCCAGGAAAGGCTGTTGGACTGGGAAGCAGCAAATAGCAGCTGTGGACTGGGATAATTACTAAAAAGGTAAATTTACACCCTGGAGACCAATAAGCAACTGAAGGAAGGGAGATCAGGGTCCTAGGCAGAGGGAGAAAGAAAGAATAAAAACTCCAAATCAAAATTCAAAGAAAAAAAACACCCAAGGAAGAAAACCCAGTGTAATGCAAACTCTCCAGCTAACTCGGAATCTTTTCCTCCCCATTTGAAGCACTTTTGGAGATTGTTTTTCCAGGCTCCAAAGAGAAAGACATTGTACTATTGATTAAAGAACAGAGGCAAGTTCTCCCTGTAGCAGCAAAAATGAGCTGAGGACCAATTTTGTCCCTTGTTGTAGAATTTTTCTACCTTGGAAAAGGGAACAGGTCACCCACTAGTCTACTTCTTCTATCTCATTTTTTATTTACTTCTCTTTTCTTCTTTTTATTTCCTGGAGAACTAACAGAGGCAGTGACTGAAGATGCATACATGCATACACATTCTCATGCCTGCACATGCATGTACACAGTGGATCACACATGAATACATCAGCAATCCATTCATAACTTTGGTCCTACCTAGCAGGATAGGAGGCAGCAAAGACTGAGTTACTGGGAGACATAAAGACTAGTGCTCTCTGGATAGCCATATTATAATGCATTATCTTTGATGCCATTTAAGTCCAATTTAAGTGGTATTTAGTATAATATTTATGAATTAATGTAATCTAAACATAGGGCTGTCCCCAAAGGTTTAAACAGCCTTTACTACTGATGTGTGCTTGTTCCCAGAGCCTACGATGCATTTTAATCTAAACAGCCAAGTCCCCATCACAGTCCCTCTTGTTATCTGTTAGAACAGATCTGCACCTGGGTAACTATTCTGCTTTGAGATTGTCCCCACTGCATGGAGGAAAATCTCTAATGACTGCACTGGGAGCCCCCCAAACCAGAAGCCACAGCAACAGAGACAAGATGTCAGCCCCTCGTACTTTCTCACCCTACATCCAGAATGAGGGTGGGGACAGAGTAACAGACCTTTCTGTGGCTTTTGCTCTGGAAAGTGTATCATTTTAAAATACACTCACTATCAGATGCACAACCCCCATCTCAACTGTACCTGAGTGGAAATGCCTGAATCTCCTTGATTTGGGGTGTGACCGAGAAAAAGAGGAAAGATAAGGGTTATGATTCTATTTTGGTGATTTGAGACCATCTTCATAAAATGATATTTTATATTTGCATTTAAGATGCAACAATTTTCAGAACATCAAATTTCTACCTCTTGATTTTAGTCGAGATGGCTCGGGTTTTTTTTCCCCTATAGATAGATGAATTAAAACTGTGAGGCTGTATCTGATTTCCATTTTCAAATGAGTCTAAGAGAGTGAAGTATCAGCATGGGCATCAACTCAATTAAAATGAACTTCTTTTTAATTATGCCAAAAAAATAAAAACTCAGCTCTGTCCAGGGAAAGAGACTGGCTGAATTACTGGTTATACACCTATAGTTTTAGAAAGAAAGATTTGCCTTGTCAGAGATAGGGAAAATAGAATCAGAAAACAAGAAAACCACTAAAAAATATATAAGTTTCACCAAAGAAAATGAACAGTAGCAATCTTTACAAGACTAAAGTATATCAAAGCAACAGCCACCATTTAAAAGCTTCCAAATTCCAGATGTTTATGTGTCCTATCAAAAAGCAAAGAAAAATTTATTGGAATAATTGGTTTATTTAAAATTGGTGGTTATTTGCATCTTGTGCATAATTTTATTTATCTTTGAAACAGACTTTCTCAGAATCAACAAACACAGAGATGAATTAACATGCACATATGC